GCGCGAAAACATCCTGCAAAGTTTTAAATCTGAAAGTGCACTGTGCATAAAGTTACTGTCTCTCAAAAGAAAGAGTCGATTCTGAATCACTGAAACGAGTCATTTTTAAAACGAATCCCAAGCCATTTCATACTGACGTCAACATGAAACATTAGCATATTGCCCGCCCACTTGTTCTTTTCGCGTTGGTCTGAATGAAAATGCTAATTCATTCTTTGCCACTAGGTGCCACTTTGGAGCGGTAAAATAGCGGTTTCCCTGGTAATGCTGTACACAAAGCAGCACTGCGCTCACAAACGCTGCTTTAAACAGCAGGTCATATGGTTTTTTAAAGTGTCCTAATATTGTGTTGGAGTCCCCTACAACAGGTTTAAATGCATCTAAGGTCAGAAAACACTGTAATTTTCCCAGAATATACGTTTATACATCATTTGTCCATGATTTCAAAACGGTTTGTTCGATTCAGTTCTGAGTAAACTGTAAACCCCTCCCTTCCATAAGCCTACTCTGCTCTGATTGGTCAGCTGGCCAAGCCTGTTGTGATTGGCACAAAAGAGGAGCGCTTGAGCAAGTTATGCCGAGTTCACACTGCACGATTTTCAAAGACGTCGCATCACTGTTGTTTTCACACTGAAGGACTATCTGGGGTAGCATTCAGTTGCAGTTGCAGCTGCATGCCCAATTACTACTCAAAACTAGCCTGAAAATAGCCCAATTGCTTTCGAGGGGGTCCCCCAGTAGAAAATCGCATTCGGGGGGTAAAATACACATTTTTTGGTAGGGTTCTCCTGGTACAATTCACATTCCAGGGCCTAAATATCACGTTATTGGGGTCGCTTCAACCTGCTGACATAAAAACGTCGTCACATCATGCACCTGCTGCACTTCTGTGAAAGGAGAAAAATAGAAATTAAGTCTATAGAAGGAATAAAATAAATAGGATCACACAAAATATATAATAGGCTATAATATAATTAACAGATTAACAAAAGGGGGAAATAAACACTGCAACAAGTATAGGCTACGCTCGTTTTTGTGACACTCTTTTAATACATTTTATTTATTTTCTTTATGTCTTTTCATCGTCTGTTTGATTACGTCTTTAATTGATTTTTCCGTACATTTCTGCCATATGTACATTAACTGACAGTCACCACTGATAAGCTAGCACTAAATATTGTAGAAACTTAATTTTCTGTAAAGTTGTAAATTTGTATTGTGAAAAGCACTATACAAATAAACTTGAATTGAATTATGTCTTTATTTGATTAAATCCATCTGATTGCACAGGCGCCTCACGCACACACAAACAACATTAGTTCTACCGTTACCGTCATTTCAGCCATTCATCATCAAACTAAAATGCAGTCAACCAAACATAAAAGTTTATTTAAAAGGTCCGCTGTAAAATCAGCGTGCAGCGCCCAAACAAAAATTTTTTTGCCATAAGGATTTTATACTGATATTAGAACTGATATTTTATACTTTTCTGCCGCAACATTTATCAACGTGTGATCATTCCTACGATGAAATTGGTGGCATATGAATGTTTCATGAATCACACGTGAACTCTGTCATAAGTTGATTTGTGCGCACGGATCTGTGCTCGTTTCTACGTTAGATTGATAAATGAGGCCCACTATTTTTATTTATCATGCACTTTTTTGATTAACAACTTTGCCGACTGTTTACATTGAAGGATAGCTACCTTATAAACTGCAAAAGAGATATTTTTCGAAAACCCATATGACCTAAATCACCTCGTTCTAACACGCCCCCACATGTCTACGTCACGATGTGGGAAGATTTGCAT